TCAACATAATTTTAGTGGATTTAATCATCTTTTTGTCACTACCGACAATAAGCATATGGTCAGCGAAAGACATAAAATGACATAACCATCTTTAATGTCTTTGACGTAAACACATTTGTCACACTCATTGATTTTAAATCCACTCTCTATTATGACATTATCAAATTTTTCATGTCATTGTTTGGATGCTTTTTTCAAGCCATTTAGTGACTTCACCAATTTACAAACTTTCTTTTCTTACCCTGGTGACGAAAACCCCTCGGGTTGTTCCATATAGATTTCTTCTTCTTCTAAATCGCCATTTAGAAAGGCAGTTTTAACATCCATTTAATGTACTTCAAGTTTTTGCAAAGCGGCAATTGCAAGTATCAACCATATTATTCTCATCACTGGAGAATACGTATCAAAGTAATCAATACCTTCTCTTTATTTGTAACCTTTTATTACTAATTTGACCTTGTACTTTTCAATAGTTCCATCTGCTCTCATTTTCCTTTTGAAAATCCATTTATAGCGTAGTGATTTGCTTCTTGGAGGAAGATCCACTAGCTTCCATGTATGATTTTGCAGTATGGAATCTATCTCATTTTTAATGGCCTCCTTCCATTGAGGTCCTTCCAAGGAATTCACAGTCTCTTGATAACTTTGAGGTTCACTTTCTAGCATATAGGTTAGAAAATCGGGATCATACGTTTTTTCTATCCTTTCTCGTTTGCTACGTCTAACCTCAATCTCCTCTTCTAGTTTTTCGTCATGACTATTTTCAGTCATAGTCTCATATGTTCGTTTGGAGGAGTTTGCTTTCTCTTGGACTTGTACGAAAATACATGTTCAAAGAATGAAGCATTTCTTGACTCCAATATCGTGTTTTTGTGTATGTCTGGAATTTTAGAATCATACACAAGAAATCGATAAGCATTACTATTGTGTGCATAGCCAATGAAGATGCTATCTACCGTTTTTGGCTCTATGCTTAGCTTCTTTGGTGTTGGAACGGCCACTTTAGCAAGATACCCCCACACTTGTAAGTATTTATATGAAGACTTTCTTCCTTTTTGTAACTTATAAGGGGTCTTTTCCATTTTCTTTCGGGGCACCTTATTCAAAAGGTAATTTGCTGATAACACAGCTTCCCCCCACATGTTCTGAGGTAACCTAGAACTTACTAGCATTGCATTCATCATTTCCTTTAAAGTGCGATTTTTCCTTTCAGCAACACCATTTTGTTGCGGTGAATAAGGTGCGATGGTTTCATGTATGATTCTGTGTTGTGCACAGAATTTCGCAAATGGTGCTTCATACTTACCACCTCGATCGCTTCTTAATACCTTAATTTTCTTATTAAGTTGAGTATCAACTTCACTCTTATAAAGGACAAATTTCTCTATAACTTCATCTTTACTTTTTAGCAAATACACATAACAGTACTTGGTGCTATCGTCGACAAAAGTAATGAAATACTTGTTGCCACCTCTTGTCTATACAAGTTTTAAGTCACATACGTCACTGTGAATTAAATCAAGTGGGTCTGTGTTCCGTTCAACTGATTTAAATAATGACTTTGTCAATTTTGTCTCAACACAAGTATCACACTTATGTTTTGAATCAATGTGGAGCTCGGTTATGCAATTCAAGTTAACTAGTCTTCGTAAAGTATCATAGTTAACATGTCCTAATCTACCATGCCACAAATTGGAAGATTCAAACAAATAAGCAGAAGAATTTGCTTTATTCATTTTTGGTTTTACAACCATTACATTCGGCTTAAACATACCGTCGGAAACATAACATTTTTCGACAAACATTCCACTTTTTGATAGAATGACTTTGTCTGACTCAAATACAATGCGAAAATCATGCTTATTCCAAAGCGACCCGGATACTAAATTCTTACGAATTTTCGGCACATATAGCACATTGTTGAGAGTCAGTTCTTTTTCCGATATCATCTTCAGAACCACTTTCCTTGATCTTTAATTTCAGAAGTTGCTGAATTTCCCATAAACAACTTCTCCACATTCTCAACTGTTTCGAACGTAGTAAACAGCTCCTTATCAGAGCATACATGCCTCGTAGCACCAGTGTCAATCCACCATTCTTTAGGGTTTAAACCCACCGTATTCACTTCAGAAACGACAGCTAAGAGATTCAGCTCCGAACATCTTGTGCCTGTAATCAACCACATTTACTTCTTTCTTCTTCTTTGGCAATCTGCACTCCTAAGAATTGTTGCCCACTTTGTCACAATTGAAGCATTTTCCTTGAAATTTATTCTTAGAAATTCCACCTTTTGGTCTTAGTTTGGTCCTTTTGCCACCGGATGGTCCAGATTTGTTTTTATAGTTCTTACTACTTTGACCATGCTCCACAACATTGACTTTAGCCACACCAGGATTGAACCACTTCTTTTCTGAACTTTTGTTGTCTTCTTCAATTCGAAGTCTAACAATAAGTTCTTCAACGTTCATTTCCTTTCGCTTGTGTTTCAAATAATTTTTGAAATCTTTCCATGGGGACGGTAATTTTTCAATAATTGCAGCCACTTGAAAAGTTTCACTCAAAATCATTCCTTTGGCATGAATTTCGTGAAGAATCAATTGGAGTTCTTGCACTTGACTGATAACCGTTTTGGAATCCACCATCTTATAGTCTAGGAATCTGCCGACTATAAACTTTTTGGCCCCATCACCCTTAGTTTTATATTTTCTGTCCAAAAACTCCCACAGCTCCTTAGCAGTTTTCATAGTACTATACTCATTGTATAGCGTGTCGGCTAAAATATTCATAATGTAGTTTCGGCATAAAAAGTCCGAATGCTTCCAAGCATCAAGCACAATGATTGCTTGAATATCTCCTTCTCCTTCATTGAGTACAGGAGCAGTCTCAGTCAAGAATATCGTAAGATTCAAGGTGGTCAAGTAAAACAGCATTTTCTGCTGCTACATCTTGAAATTCAAGCCATTGAATTTTTCCGATTTCTCTCCATGATTAACCGGAACAGTAACCGTTTGGCCAGTTGTTGGAGCCACAGTTTGACTTACAACATGACTTGACAATCTAGCCACAATCTGAGCCACAACAGAGCTTGGCCCTTGAGCCACAGTTGAGCCCATAGCCTGATTTCCAGTAGGCACAGTTTGGGTTACATCCATGTTGGTCGATTCATTTGCCATTTCTGAAAAAAAAAAAAAATTAGTTTCTAAAATTAACAATATAAGAAACCAAATTTTCCTTTATGAATCTGTTTTTAAGTTTGTTGGTAAATTTATTCGGTAGTGTATGGAGTGGAATCGGGTTCTCATATACCGTATTTGTGTTTTAGACACTGGATTCACACTTACCGTATTTGACAATTGCTTACCGCATATGGCAGTGCAACTCACCATATTTGGCAGTGCAACTCATCGTATTTGTCAGTTTACCGTATATGCTAGTTAGCTCACCATATATGACAGTGACGTAACAACAGAATTTTCACACTTTATGATAACTTAAACAACACAGATTTTGGATAAACTGTTTGTTTTCATAAAATAATTTAAATAATATAGGACTTGACTTTTCACAAGCACGATTTCATATCCCGGTTCGTATATACAAATATTATCTGATTAAAACAAATTAAATTACTTGAATAAGAATGGTAAATTATATAATTTGCAGAAACATAAAAGCAGTATAAATTTCAGAAAGTTAAATAAAATTCGAAAGCATGCTAAAATATATCTAGAAGGCTTATAATTCTGGAAATAATTAAAGCGCAGATATTTAAACAAGAAGCATATAAATTTGGAAATAAATTTTTAACCCGAGGCCTGTGTAAACGCAGTTTCCTTAAAACAGATTCGCTTCCTCATCGTAAGTGATTGAGGTTTATCCCGAGCGTCTGTTTCCCAAGATACAATGGCAAAACCAGCAGAATTTGAGCACCACAGAAACTATTCCAGCGAATTGAGTTTGTGTTTGAACAATATCACCACAAAATTATACTGGACAGAGATCGAGATGCAGACAGGAAGAAAATATTCAGAATGTTTTTCTCCTATTTTCGTGTGTATTGGAACTGCTGGAAAGTGGCAATTTATAGAAGTTTAAATCTGCCTATTAACTCCATAACAATAAATAATGGAGTTGTTTCAATTTCTGTGAGTTTTGGCAGTTTCAGAAAACTTAAAGGTCAGTTGAAGAAAGCAAAAAATTGTAAAACGTGGACACTCCAAACGGGCCAATTTTTCCTCCATTCGGTCCGACATTCGTGTACGCAGGTCGTGCCTGCATACAAGTTCAAGGTCCGAATGCACCCCCTGCGCGCACACGTGAAGAGAGCCTCTATGCTACATATGATTATACCATTCCAATGTACAATCCTATATAAAGTGGTTAATAATTTCTTCATTTTCCTATGTGGGACTAGACTCATTTTCCCACATAAATCATCTTCCAATGGTCATCTTTGAGTTCCAATTTTTCATTCATCCATTCATCAATTTTGACAAATAAATATATGATTTCGATGCTCTCACGGAGGAAAACAAGGATTAACTTTGATATTCCAAATTGGACCAACGAGTCCCACCGAAAATTTTGCCAAAATGAGCCAATTCACTCATTTTTCCAACAACTAAATCACTAAAATATACCAACAAGGATCCGTTTGTTCCACATTTTTCCAACAAAAATGTATTTACACATCACATCATGGGTCCTACCTTAAAGTGTTGAAGTCAAATATTGTAGACTGATTTGATGGGAAAAAATGTATTATTTTCCCAAATAATGTGCAGCAAACGAGGGCCAATACCCTCGTTAGGTAGCCATTTTTTTTAAAATGCAATTTTCTATCTCTTCTTTTCAACCACAGATTCTTTATTAAAATAATATTACACGTAAATAAAAAACTTTTCCTTATTTTTCAACCACACATTTCACATCAATTTACTATTTTGAAATGTATTGTTACATAAAAATACATTTCAAAAACCCAAAAGAAAGACAAGGGCTAAAAGTAAATCAGCATGAAATTTCCAATTTTCAATGAACGCCACAGTGCAGCATTTTTATATTTTCCTGATCAGTGACTGCCTGCCTTGAGGCTGGAATAAAAGATTAAAGAATACATTTTTTCCTTGTAAGTAGAAGTGCAGGGACTAAGCCTCACATGCTCCTTGCTCGGCCGACAGGCCAACCAGGATAATATCACTTGGTCAATGACTAGTTCCCAATATTAAAACATTCTACCAATTTTAGCAAACCCTCTGGCGACTCCAAATATAACAGCCTTGGTCAAGAGCCCTCGATCAAGACTACAAGCAAGGGCAATGGCGCCACCAACAACTAGGACCTTCGGAATATTTCTTCCCGATGGCTTACTCGCTGAATCAAGAGCTTCAACCTCTGATAAATTGCTTGTGCTGCCCAAGGATTCAAGGGCCTTAGGACTTACTTTAGTGTTAATCTGAGCCATGGAAGCAAAATGAGAAATTGGAGCTCCAGATACTCTGTGCTTCAGGTAGGCACGCAAACCAGGGTCGATCTTCTTCACAGCCCCCCACATACCTTGCCTGACGCCAAGTTTTGCAATTTCCCAAGGTATACCCATGTCTTCATGATGGAAAAGTAGAACTTCACATGCCGTCAACTGGCCATCTCTCTTTGATTCAACTGATTCATCAGAAAACTCAGTATGTTAGTGGCCAATAGTTTATCAGTCCCCAAGACTGTCTTTTTCGTGCCACTTATTATTTATTTATAATGATATATGGAAATGGTCTCAATTTCTCAACGACTTGGATTCTATGAGAAGGATTTTGCTTATGTATGGAATTGAAAGATGAAAGAATCAATTTTTTATCTATAGAATTATATTAACTCAAAGCTTCTTCAGTTTCTTGTATTATTCCTTTAAGGATTTACCATTGATTTTGTTACACGAGAATTTAAGAAATATGGTAGCTTGGTCAGCAGTCCTGGCATTATTGTAATGGAATTATAATATGAAAAGTTCGATACCTGCACGGATGCACCAACTCGAAAAATACACTTCAACACGCCTTGGTTTGTTGCGACGCGGCAGAGAAGAGCATTGAACACCCTAAAACATGGGGCAACATTTTTTGATAAGAATATCCTCCAAAGGCATGAATCATTAAATATAACTTTATAAGAAAACAGTGTACAAATTACAATGCGCAACTTTCACAGCAACGGAACTCAAAATAGAGTGACACAAAATGCATTTATCTGCCAATAAATCTTTTGCTAAAGTAGCATTTAGATTCCCATGCATCTGAAAACGAACTAGTATTGAGGTAACTGACTTCACCAGGTTCACATGACAGGACATTTAAAGATATATTGTCAAATTTTCAGGATAACATGAAAAATAAATCTCCATCATCCTTCCCACATCATTGTGTACAAATACACATGCAAACACACCTCAAATATGGGCAATTATTTTGTCCACATACTGGATGGCCAGTTCCTTGCTCATTGTTATTTTTCCAACTCTCCTCAACTTCCATTTCCAGCAGCTGAAGATACAGACTGACTCACATATGTAAAGATATGTAGTTCCTAAAATAGAACAACATGCCCATGACCAGAGTCATCTTATTTTCCTTGACTATCAGATTCAATTGTTAAATGCAAAACAACAGAGAATGCTAAATACTTTGACGTAAAACCCCCAAACCAAGTACTAGACAATTCCAAAACAAATCTTAAATAAACAAACTGTTAATATGATTCAACCCAATCTTTGTAGCGAGAAGAAAAATTTGGGAGAAAAGACTTGAGGATAGATGAAAGAATACACGGTAAGAGGGCATCCAGTTCCAGGAGAAACTCACAGAACCCAACAGTAGAGAGCAGGAATGCTTCAGAAACAAAATTTTATGAGTACATTACACTGGCAGAGATACTTATACGATGAAGTGAATTTTCCATTTTTCACTGAGAGACCGTGAAGTTAATTTTCTCCATATAGCAAATTAGATACATCATATATGCATGCGTGTTGATGCATATAATCATCACATACTTTCATCTCTCTCTCTTTCACCCCGCAGGATTTGTGGCGCACATTTTGTAAGTTAGTTTATTCTAGATGATTGTATATATTAACCTAGAAAGTAAGCATCACAGTACTTTTCTGACTCTGTACGTACGTAGAGATCCCAGTAAACTCATGGTACCTCCAAACCATGCAAGTGATGAGGATAGGTAGACAGGTAACCATCTCAATAACATTTTATACTTGAAATAAGACTTTCAAATTTTCATAAAACAACATAAATAACATATATGTGTGGCTGCTGGATTCGAATCTAGGCTCCATGGCCACAACATGGAATTCTTACCACTTTGCCAAATTTTCATATGATTATCAAATATTATATGGCAAGAATAACAATCTAATTTTTTACCTTTGTAAGACAATAATATGTTCGTTCAGATTCCCAAATTCTGCGCCCTATGATATATTCTCTGTCACTACAAAAGAAAGGAAACTGCACCACAAGAAAAGTATAGCATAAATACTTCTCAAAACACAAACCAAAAGAAGCATAAGCATAAGCATATGAAAAAGAAAGCTCTTTCTACCTTCCGTACCCACTGAACCATCATGGTGCCTGTGATGGGGCATTCTTCTAAAGTTTCAGCATGTACAAGCATGTCATCCCACTTCGCTCGGAATTCATCATCCCAAAAGAAATCCCTCACCATTTCAGGGGTGGCATCCTCATAAACACTTCTGCTACGATATTGTGGAGGTCCGCCCTAGAAATGAAAAAAATTACAGTTCTTCAGTTACAACAGTCAGCATTTAAATTGAATCACAAATCATAGCCTAAAGACGCTATTATTCGGGGAAGAAAAATTTACCGCAGGATCTCTTCTCCAAGCTTGATAGCTCATATTGGGGGTCGACCTATCCATCATCTGAATCCAAGCAGGGCCTTCATCTTTTTCTTCGACTAATTGATGTAAATATTTAAGGTCATCCTCAGTCACAAAACCTGATTTTTCTTTATCTAACTTAGATGAACTGATCACCAAGAATTAAACTTGTTACTAAATAATCAACTTTTCAAATGATGAATTAGCTTAATAGTTAATCAGCTAAACTAGACAAAATTTAAAAAAATACCAAAACACGTTCCAAGAATTCAAGGGAGTGGAAAACTTTCCCAACCCACCTGCAATCAGGACTTGAAATTGAAGGCATAGGCAGGGATGAAGTATTTTTCTCAAATCCAAAATCAAAAATCGAAGAAAAGCAGCTGGGCATTTGTTTCAAGGAATTCATGCTTGGTATTGAAGGAAACTGCAAAAAGACCATCCCTGACCCGGAAGAAGAAGAAGATTCTTGTTCCTTTGCCGTACAATCAATAAGATCCACCTTCAGACTAGCCCATTTGGGCTTCCAGGCCCACCCCACCAAAACTCCAACAAAAACAGCTATCCAGATAGGAGCCATGAATACCATCAGCTCAATCGTCATATCTCCAATTGTGGGTCTTTGAAAAATCTCAAGGAAAGCCGAAATCAAAGCCATAATAGAATCACAAAAATAAGTTTCCAAAAATCACGAAAAGAAAAAGGAAAAGAACCCTTGATTCAATCGAACAAAGATTTTGCTTTTAGACACAACGATGACTCGAGGGTTCAAAAGAAAAAAGATAGAAGAAAAGGAAAAGAGGAATTATTATAGAGAAAAACTGGATAAGTCTCAAGATATAAAAAAGGATCAGAACAATTATTATTTAGTTATGGGTTTTGCAGAACAGAAACAGAGAGACGAGACAAAACTGGTTGTGCGTGAAGAAAATCAACAAGATTGAGAGGATAAGGATGTGAGAGATACGCGGCGTATAAACGAGTTATTCGGATTGCCCTAGGCCCTCTTTTGTTTCATTTCACAAATTCTACAGCTTTTCCCCTCTCTCTGTCCAACATTTGGCAGTTTATCCAATGGTATCTCTGGATTTTTAATACTTATTTCAAGGCTGCTGGTAAATACCTGCAACTACTCACTCAACCCTCCAAAAACAAGTATGAATTATTGCGACCACAAAAATTGCAGCTCAAAATGGAGATGAAATACTCGAATAAGGTTTAGAAACCAGAATTTGGTGGTGCAGGAGAAGATAATTATGGACTGTTAGAATTGAAGAGTGGGTGGGACTTGATCTGGTTTGATTATATGGTGGGACTTGATCTGGTTTGATTATATATACTGTTGAGGGGTTTGGTTGTTATATTTCGATTTCTTGATTTGACTTAATGGTATGCATCTTATGGTCTCCGCGTTCTCATTTTTCACGTTAATTGTCTTTTAACAAACGTTTTGACCAACAGACTTTGCATATGTTTGACCCCCCGACCCCCTTTTTTTTTAAAAAAAAAAAGAAAACACGATTTTTATAATTAGGACGGAACATGGTCCAATTTTTTGATTCGGTTAGGTTCCCAAATTCCATATTATAATTCAATTGTTTAATATTTACAAAATTACATTAATTCAATAAATGATATGTTCAATCTTAACTTTTAAAAAATAACATAGTTCAATCTTATGTGTCATTTGCGTCTTTCTTTGTCGAGTTTTTCATAGATCTGATTATTAAAATCACATTAAGAGAAAGATAGCGAACTAAAAGAATTAAGAGAGGCGTTGTCGAGCTTCAATTCGACTTCTCAAGGACAATAGAAACTGTACTACGGTAGAGTAATAAATTTGGATAAAATTAAGGTCAATTTGATTAAGTTGGCTTTGAACTAAAAATGAGAAATAGGAAAATCATTTTTCTTGTTCGAAGTAAATTAACTAGTTAACAAACTTATTTAGAAAAAATAAAATAATTTGGTTTATTTAAAATAAATTAATTAAAAAATTAGGGAGATTCGATTCTTATTTGGTTCTTGATCTAGAATAGAGAACCGAATCGACTAAACTCATCGGTTCTCGATTCAAATACCCATTCAAGTATTTAACTTAAAAAGAACTACTCGATTCGATTTGAAAGTTTTGTCTAACTCTATTTATAGTATATTCTGAGAGAATGTGTGGTTAGAAAATTGAAAAAAAAAAAAAGTTGATGTTTATGTATAAAATATTTTATTATGATCATACGTTGTTAAAACTCAAAAATGAATTTGAAAAAATTGAAATTTTAAATAATGAGAATCAACACATCGGATTTATATTCCAATTTTGAGTTTGTGTTCATAACTAGAAAATATAGTGTGATTCACATGAATACATGATCGATGTTACTCTTGTATATAACAACAAATTATAGATCCGATGAGAGGGACCCCGGACCCTTAACCATGTACGATTTTGCTTTTAGCCTTTTGTCTCTTATTTGTGAGCAAGTTAAATAATGATTAACATTATTCATGAAACAATTTAGAATTTTGTTTAGTCATATTCTATATTGCCTATGAACACAAGCTCTAAGGAGATATATCTTCGCAGTCATCTTACACGAAAAAAAGAGTGCTCGTCGAAAAGCGGTAATTGGGATGAAAGTTGATTTTTCATTTTTCATCTCCATCATATATGTGTGTGGGTTTAAAAAGTTGTGAATTAAGATTAATTGTGGACTTTGATTTAAATTTTTAGCAAGCTTTACAATTCATGTCAAACAAAGGCTTAGACAGATCATTCATTTCGAATGATCAACTTCTATTTTATGTGCATAAAATGGATTTAAAATGAGATAAATTGTCAACATCATCCATCTATAAGTTTAAACGGTTAAAAGACACTGTCGCTTGTTATTTTTCATGGTAAATTGGACATTCCAACCTCTTTACTTCTTTTGCGACTTCGTTGCCAAGACTCCAACCTTCTAATCTTTGATAAATTAGCGATGTTCATTGGATTTAATAAGAATATTCAAAAAGAAAAATGTTCTATGGAGAAACCATCCGCCTAAAATTAAGGATCTGAAAAAGAAAGCCAAGATCAAATCTTGTTTGCATGTGTTTAACTGCTGGAAAATAATTTTTTTGTTTTTTGTTTTTTTTTTTTTTTGGGGGCAGTCCAGTGAAAAGTAAGCTGTTTGGGAAATTGTATTATTATTTATACTTTTATGCGTCGTGGTGGAAAGTGTGGCGATTTCATTGGTGGCATCGCATCGTCGAAGATGACCATTTGTTTTGAGCAATGTTATAAGTACAATTTTTGTACATACAGACAACTAGATGTCTTTTTGAAATTGGATGTTACTAAAAACAATTTTTGACGACAACAAATCATAGGAAGACATTCTGTTAAAAAAAATATGTACTTGCAAATTAATTTATTTTTTTTTTCTAATACTTTAATTAAAAATATTGAATTGACCCTTTTGTCCTTTTGAATTTTTGAATATCCTTATGAAGTCCATTTGCCAACGAAAATATAGGTTGAAAATATTTTTACAAATATCGCCAATTTATCAAATGCTGGGGACTTAGTTGTCCCAAAAAAAAGTTTAATACCAGGTTGCAAAAGAAGTGAAAGGTTGAAGTTGGATATGTTTACTGCAATTCGTGTACATTTTTTTTCATACAAGTGGAAATGATATTTGGAATTTAAGTATTATGTTTGGTCTAAAACAACTTTGGACTATTTTCTCTTTTAACTACAGTAAATTCACCACATCAAGAAAATTCTTACGTTAGATTATTAATTTATCGATAAATGAACAATTTGATAGATTACGTTATATCATTTTAGTTAATGTTATAAAGTGTGATGAATGACAATTACATTTTTACCGTAGCAAAAAATAATATGATGATGTAAAAGTCTCCTGATGAAGAAGTCTTTCAAGAGTAGGTGATACTTGTGTTTTACCCCATGTTCTAAAAAGTGCGCCTCAAAGCGAGCCAAACGCTTCATCTTGGTAATAAAAGAAAATTAAGCGATCAACTATCAAGTTGACTGCTTAATGCATGACTAGATGTTATCTAAGCACTCTTTATTAATTTTTTATTTTTAAAAGACTTTTATATGACTTCAGTTTATTAATTTTTTAATTTTTTTTT